TTATTTTAATATAATTTCTATCTTTCGAGTGGTTAGAAATAATTTTTTACAAATATAATTGAAACAAGCGCATACATATGTTATATAACCTGCCCAAAAGTTAAAACGATAATTATTTTGTTTATTCTTCATTGTATTTTTATATCATATCAGGAAACTACTTTTCCACTCTTATTTCTAAAATGTGAATATATATAATACATATATATATATTATTATATTATATATATTATGATTTACACACTCCTAATAGTATGGTTGTATAAAAAATTTCAATTTGAATTTTTTATATAAAATATACTATACAATTCGTTTCCCTTATTCTATAACCCATCATACCCAATACCCATGAAATGAGAGAGACGACTCTTCCATTCCCCATTGAAATTTATCACAAACAACGCATGTCCTTCCTCCTTCTCTTCTTCTTGCCTTCTGTTTCTGAAACGAAGCCCCGTTTCATTCACTCCAAAACCACACATTGAAGTTATTCACAGCTCGACCACCATTGAAGTTACTCAAATTTGTCTTTTAAATCAAAAACCTCTTGGAATATTCTGGTGAGTTCTCTATTTTTATGTCCCTTCTGTGTGTATATATTTATGATTTTGGTTATTATTAGTGGAATTTATAGATATAGGTTTTTATGCCCTTCTGTGTGATATAGGTTATTATTAGTGGAATCTGTAGGTAGTTTTCAATACGCCCCCTTTCCACGTTTTCAGCTGAGTTCCTATGCCTTCATTAGACTCAAGAACTGATCTTCGTATAAGCTTAAATAGATGCAACGCAAAATTCTAGATCTAAGTTGGAATGTAAGCTCTTCCTTTTCGGGAATCTTTATAGTGAAATCATCGTCATTACTACACCATTTTCAGGGTGTACTCAGAGAAACAATAAGCATGCTAAAACTTGTCATGTGTGAACATTTTAGAAATATGGGTTGTTGAGGAAAACAATTAAATTACTCCCAAAAAAGGACTTGCATAATAAGACAAGGAGTTGGACTAATTAATTTTCTCTCTGTATGTGTATTTATCCTCTTGTGGTATTGGATATGGATATGTATTTGATTGGTCTTTTAACTTGTTGGGTGTATTGTATTTGTATGTATGCTAAGGATGTGTATTTGGTTGGCCTTCTATATATTTTGGGAATTTGCTTTTCTGTTCTTCGTCGGTTCTTAATTATAGAAACTTGCTATGCTTGGATCATTTGAAGGTTGCTAATCCTTCCTACTCGAACCAGACGAATGATGATTGTCACTCTTTGCACCAGTGGTTAAGTGCCGAAATAGCGAAACTCACTACTCTATTGGCCTCTGTCTGTTAAGTGTCATTATACATATTTATGTTTATAAATTTTCCTTTTCACCAAGTAAAATTAAATTAAAAAAGGTTTGTTGTAATCAACTTATCCATGTCATTTGTATTCGATGGGGTGTCCTGTGTCCAAGCACATGCAGCAGTTGCATTGATACATTGGAAGTTTCCGACTTAGCTGGTAGACTAGTGAACCAGAAATTCCATTCAAATAGGATGGATGTTTTAAAGCATGGCTAGCAAGGGTAAGATAGAGTCCATGTTTTTCTTTCTCTTTTTTATGGTTTGAAGGTATAAGTTATGAACACTTAATTTTTTCTTTGGTTTTTGTTAAAGGTGACATTGTTTGCCTCTGCACAACTTCATACTGATTCTAACTTAACTAGATCGAAGGTGTTTTGCTTGTATTGTGACTTAGTTTAAGCTAACTAGCTATTTGCTTTTGTTTTCATTCTTTTTTTCAAAATTCGTGAAAAATTTTTGTTGTTCTTTATGGCATAAATAATCTTTTGAAAATTTTAATTTTTGTTAAGCGGTGTATTTTTAAAAAAAAAAAAACAACACTAGTTTCTAGTTTTTTCAAAATAAGATTTCAACAAACAAGTTTTGGAACCAATAGAAATTGTAAGGAAAAGTTTTTGCATTGTCAAAGTGAGCGCATGAGCTGTTGTGCTTTGGGTGCTTATGATTTGGCTCCATGAATGAAGATGGATGTAAGCAAAAATTCATTTATCTTTAACTTGGAGATTGATATAAATAGAGAGAACAAAATTGTCTGACTCTCCAAAAAATTCATTTATGAAAGGCTGCTTTCTCTAAAAAAGAATTATGTTGTTTGGGTGAACCACTAAATCTCTTATGTTTCTGTTTTGAGTGTTGATCTTCTTGTCCATTTTAGATTAATTGTGTGTGTGATTGTGTTACCCAAGTCGTGGAGATTGGTTTTATTTATTAATTCCATAACAGAATCTTCACATGCTCATTCATGGTAGATCTATGTTCAACACCTTTTTTTTTTTGTTTTTCAGTTTTGCTTGATCCATGCTCTGGTTGTTTATAGTCTTCCTTTCGGTTGTTGAGGTAAATGAGGGAAAAAAATATAAAATATAATAAATTAATAATACCTAAATATTTTAGAGATGTAAAATGTAATAGCATAGGTGATGTTGAGTGCTATCATGCCTCCCATTTCGAAAGTTACACACTCTGTGTTATTGCTCCTGCTCCTCAAATTGGTACAGCAACTATTCTTCCAATTTCCTAAATATTGAAAACTTTTCTTTTATCTGTAAGAATGAATGGAGGAACACAGTCTCTGTGGATATTCTCTGCATATCCTTTTGTTTACAGATCCCTTCGTCTTTGTCTTTGTTACTACTATCAAATACTAGACAAAGCCTTTGTTGACCTTTAATCCATCTAGGGGTAATCTTTACATTAAAACTTTAGTGCTTTTATCAACTCTTTATGTATAATTTTGATAGGTCAATGTGAATGAACCTGCGGTCTGTATACTTACTATTTTTATCAACTCTTTTATGTAACCAAATTGCTACATGTACAACAACCTAGCCAAAACTATAAATGCCGTAACTTACATAGCAAAAAAACCTTCAGCAAGTAGCAAAGATCATCCAATAACTCAGAAGCTGGTAAGAAGTTTCGACTTTCAAGCACCAACAATGATTTTCCAACATTGACGACCTTGCTAGTGCCGATTTTTTTTTGCAACATGGGCTACTGTATTTTTGTGAAGAATTCAAATTAGTACAATTCTGTTTCAGTCATTTGTTGTACTATTTCTTGACAAATTTCTATATAGGTAACTTCAACTATATATAGTATATAGTCTTTTACACTTGTGAATCACACATTTTCCTAAAACTTCTTGTTATGCTAAGGCTTTTAATCTTGCATTATTATGGGCATTTTAGAGTCATATTTCTATAACTAGCTTCTTGTTTGGATAGGACGGGTTTGATAATATGTTTATCAGTTGTTTGATGAAATGGTTATGTGAGATTCTGAACATATAGTCCGAAGCAGTGGCTAGTAGACAAGTTCTGTTGTGCTTGTGAGTTTGTTTGTTTGTTTGTCAAAAAATATTTTCCAAAACGAAATTGCTATTATGCTATACATACCATCATAATTTTTGTACAAGAGAGCATTTTCATTTAAAATATTCACGAGTAAATATTATGCATGGCAAGGCTCTGTCACATTTCTTTAACACAAGTAAATAAATTGAGATGATAAAATACCAGTGTTTTTTATTCACAAAATTTATCTGGAAAATAACTAGGAAAGTTATCTCAAATCCATGAGAGGTTTGGTAGAAAATTTGGTAAATCATTTGGGTTTCATAACATTTTTCTTTGGAGTTTGATTCATTTTAGATTTGGCTTGGCAACTAAGAGATTTAACCTTTTAACTTATTTATTTATTTACATATTATAAGAAATTTAAAAAATACTAAAATAGTCAATTTTTACAAACAGCTCTTAGTTATTTAAATTTAGAGAGATTTGATCAGAATTTTCTCATAATAAATTTTTAATACATTAAGGACATGCACAAAAAGTTTTTTTAATAAGTCTAACAAATATCACTATTATCAAAATATTAAATTTTAAAATAATATAACTTTTGATGTAAATGTTGATTTTTAATAAAATTAATATTTTTAGAATTCTCTTATTAAGATCTATCAAATAAGATTTATATAATTATTACTGTTAAAATTAATGTAAACAATGTTACTCTGTTTGATAGTAATATGTTACTCTATGTGATAATTACTCTATTTGAGAATAACATGTTATTTTGGTTCACAGTAACATGTTTCTCTGGCAATATTGTCCACGAAAGGGAAAAATAGAAAAGAAAAAAAAGATATTTTATTTTGTTCTTATTCAATTATGTGTTTTCTCCTTAGAGGATTATGAAAATAAATAAATAAATTGGGTTTTCTTTTCACCAAACAATGATCCAATGAAAGGATTTTGACTAAATTACTCTTAAATCTATCCATTAATTCAGATTTAGGTATGGATAAGATAGCATTTTTGGATAAAATATGTAAACCACCACCCATGTTTAATGGATGAAAAAAAATCCTTTTGCACTCCACATTATGAGCTTTTTTCTCTCCTTCATCTTGAGCTTCACCCAATCCCACCATTGTTTATACTTTACGAAATTGTTTAGACTTTATGGAATTATTATTTTTTTCTTTTTTTGACTTTGCAATTATTCATAGATCAGATAAATTATTTGTTATAAGATCTTGTATTTTATTTATTTATTTCTTGCAAGTTTGCTTGAGGCATTTAATGTTCTATCAAAGAAATTGTGCCTTATCAATGACATTCCTTTAAGGTTATCAACTGTGTAGCCTCTAGTTTATTATTTTATATTCTAATTTCTTTGTTGGTATAGGTATTCAAAAATACATTTAAAATGGACAAATCTTGAATGTTCAAGGATAGAAGATCAAAAGACTATGAGAATGGAGTTGAACAATTTCTTAATTTTGCTATGATTCGTGCAAGTGATCTTCAATCCATACGTTGTCCTTGCAGAGTCTGTGGAAACTTGAGAAGCCAACCTATTCGAGAGATTAGAAATCATCTCTTTTTCAATGGTGTTGACCAAAGTTATACCACATGGATATGGCATGGAGAAGCAGTCACTAGTGGGACATCACCATGTTTAAATGAACAAGATTTTTCCCAACAACAATTTGACCCGTCTCCCACAGACAATGTAGCTGAAACAATAGAAATGGTTCAAGATGCATACGATCATTGCACGGCTGATCCTGAAGTGTTCAAGAAATTACTTGAAGATGCCGAAAAACCATTGTATCCAGGTTGCACAAAGTTTACCAAGTTATCTGCATTGGTTAAACTGTATAACTTCAAAACTACGAATAGCCTATCTCACACTGGGTTTTCAGACCTACTGACGTTGTTGGGTGATATGCTGCCATTGAACAATGAAATACCATCATCCATGTATGAGGCTGGGAAGACGTTTGCTGCATTGGGAATGGGATATGAGAAAATACATGCATGTCCATGTGATTGCATACTCTATAGAAAGGAGTACAAAGATGCAACTTCATGCCCTACATGTGGTACATCCAAATGGAAGTTGAAGAAGAATTCCACTGAAATAAGAAAGGATGTGCCTGCAAAAGTTTTATGGTATTTTCCACCTATCCCAAGGTTTCGAAGGATGTTTCAATCAGCAAAAATAGCGAAGGATTTGACATGGCATGCTCACGAAAGAGATTATGATGGCACAATGTGTCATCCAACGGATACTCCATCATGGAAGTTAGTAGACCACAAGTGGCCAGATTTCGCTGTAGAGCCAAGAAACATTCGATTAGCTATTTCTGCAGATGGAATAAATCCACACAGTTCCCTTAGCAGTAGGTATAGTTGTTGGCCAGTTATAATGATTACCTACAATCTTCCACCGTGGTTATGTATGAAGAGGAAATTTATGATGTTATCATTGTTAATATCAGGTCCACAACAACCTGGTAATGACATTGATGTTTACTTGGCACCACTGATTGATGATTTGAAAATGTTGTGGGAGGTAGGTGTTGAAGCTTATGATGCTTATAAAGAAGAACACTTCAGGCTGAAGGCTGTATTGTTGTGGACAATTAACGACTTTCCAGCATTAGGTAATTTGAGCGGTTGTACTGTAAAGGGAAATTATGCTTGTCCAATTTTCAGTGAAGGAACATGTTCTCACAGATTAAAATATGGTAAGAAGAACACGTATGTTGGCCATAGAAAATTTCTTCCACGCTATCATCCATATCGAAGGCAAAAAAGGCTTTTAATGGTGAGCAAGAGTTTGGATTAGCCCCAATACCATTAACTGGGGAGGAGATATTAAATACGGTTGAAGGGTTTGTAACCATATGGGGAAAGAAAAATAAAAAAGCATTACATGTTGGTGGTACAAAATGTTGGAAGAAGAAATCATTATTCTTTGATCTTGAATATTGGAAGTACTTACATGTTCGACATAATTTGGATGTTATGCATATTGAGAAGAATGTGTGTGAGAGCCTCATTGGTACGTTACTTAATATACCAGGAAAAACAAAGGATGGAATTAAAATTCTAATTTTGATTGCGCACCTTACAAATACATGTTTAAGTGTACTTTACATACCCCTCCACACAACTCCATTAATTTTTCATTTCAGTTCTAGCTGCACTGCGTTGTTAACAGTGAGTTTCGAAACCAAGTCTTTATAGCATATCGGAACCATTGATTGCGAGCCAACACCCCCATATGATAGCTTGAACATTTTGATTGAATTGTTTCCAATCAATTGACCATTTCTCGTCGTTATAGTCAATGCTTTTCGTACACCAGAACTCCTATCTTTTATGACATCCGCGTAATGTTGTCGAACCTCTGCCTTTTCTTTTATTAGATGTGTGGTTTGTTGCTGCGTAAACCATGCATTCCTCTCCATCAGCTATGCAGGAACATGAGAAGTATCCATCCTGTTGAATAAAAATAAAATAAAAATTTAAGAAAAAATGTCAAATAGTTAGACCAATTAAATATAAAGACATGAAGAAAATGAATATAAGTCAAACATTTTAACATGAAAATACAATACTTAGACATACATTCTTACAAAGACATTTTTGTTTTTCATCATGGATAATCGAGCCAAGTTCCCTCACAATCTCCTCGCATGTAAGATGACATAGAATCAATCAACCCACATCTAATTGATTCAACTTCTGGCAAAACTTTGTAAAGCCATGATGCTCTATACAAAATCATTGAACTCATCATCCTTTTCACAAGAATATTGTTTTTGAGAGGGTTCTAGCACAACTGACCATCTCGGATCAAGTTGATCTTGTACATAAACTTGCTTAGCTTTGGGAAGGCCAAAATGAAGTGGATCGTCTTTGTGGCCTATCCTCCCTACTCAACTAATTGGAAAACCCAACTCATCCACTCTAAATTCCCTTTGTGTTGTCAACCCAATCACACTTAAATACCGGAATCTTGAACATATTGTAGTCAAGTTGCCATATCTCAATAATAACTCCATAGTAAACTCATATCAGTAAACACGGGTTCTTATCCTTGTAACCTGTCACATGCATTGTTGTTGCCACTAAACTAACCCCCTGTTTTGGCTAAACTCGTGAGTTAATCCCGATCTTTTGTGTGATACGACAACCATTGATGATATAGCCAGGAATTTTATAACATCCAATCGAGGTCCTTGTGCTATCCACTTCAAGTTATTTGAGATATTATTTTGGCCACTTAATTCCTTTGAGACCTGTATATGGTTGAATAGTTATGTAACTTTTTCTTAATAATATTTACTATTAGAAAAAGATTAAATGTTGAATTTACCCCAATACCTTTTTCACGAAGCCCAATACATAAATGTTTCTTATTAATGCTCAATTTGTAGCCATTTTGACTTTGTGATTGACGATGATTATTTTAGCTTCAACCAAACGCATATGCTCCCTATCAAATCATCAATAAAGCAATATATTATGAGATAAATCTCTAACTTGTGAGAATACAATTATACAAAAATGTACATGAAATATTCTTACTCAATGTATGGTTGAATGCCACTTGTATTTTCTAAACACATAATGATGTGCTTGCTCCATCATTACGATCAACAGTAACAACATAACCACTTGATAAAGAGCCTTCCAATTTCTATATCATCATCAACTCGTCATGTTCCTATTAGAAGGAATCCCGATTGCATCCACTCCAGATAAGTACTCTGCACAAAACTCAACAGCTTCTTCTACAATGTAACTATTCAGCAATGCAACCTTTCAGGACAATTACGATTACGAACATAACCCTTTAAGATCTTCATGAACCTCTCAAATTGGTACATCCATCTAAAGTGAACTGGTCCACAAAAGTCGAACTTCTCTAACAAGATGCACTGTCAAATGCACCATGATATCAAAGAACGAAGGTGGCAAGTACTTTTCAAGCAAACACAATGTGACCACAAGCTCTTTTTGAATCTCATCTAATTTTCCCACATCCACCACTTTGCTACAAATAGCATTGAAAAAGAAACATAACCTGATAATGGCATGTCTCACATGCTTAGGTAACACAGATCGTATTGCCAAGGTAGTAACTGTTGCATCAATACATGACAATTCATGTGATTTTAGACCATAAAGTTTCAAATCTTGCATTGATACACGACTTCCCAAATTTGAAGAGTATCCTTCTGGAACTTCAATTTCCAATAATGTTGTACATACTCTTCTTTTCTCCTCCTAGACAATGTGTAACATGCTGGAGGCAAGTATGTTCGCTTCTCCCCAATTTGTGGTGCCAATTCTTCACGCAAACCCATTTCTACAAGCATCAAGCGAGAAT